AAGTGCCTGAATTAAAAAGAGAAAGTAAGGAGCTATTGCTCATTTAAAATATAATTCAAAGTTACATACTTTTATCTTAATATGTATATATATATATATATATATGCATAAAAATGAATAAATATAATATAAAAAAACAGTACAAAACCTAATTAAATTGTGCAGTGAAAGTAGCAACAAATGGTAACAATAACGCAAAATAAACTGAAAATGCATTCAAAATCTACCCCATATTCAATTTGGAAAAAATCATATGCAAAAACAAAAAGCCAAAAGCAGTGGGAAAATATATGGTAGTTGAAAAAAATACAAAAATGAAAAGGGGAAAAAATTTATATCTTTCACTGCATCGTCATAAACGGGTTGGTACAACAAAAGAAGTAAATACATAAGCCTGCTTTTTTAAATTACTTATTTATTTATTTATGAAATGAAAAATTATTAATAAAAATTTGAATAATAGCATTAGTTAACATAAATTACAATGACTATTCACAAAATACTGAAATTAAAACCAAATTTAAGAAAATTGGAAAATGACGGAAAAATTAGGTCACCTCTTGTGGAAAAAAACATTTCTTTAATATCGTGTATGGTCACCTCAGACAGATATGCATACCTCACATCTTGATTTCATAGACTTTACCAACTGCTGATCAAGTTTTCTGGAATTGCATGCCACTCTTCTCAAAGTGCACTTTTCAGTTCCTGGAAGTGTGGGGAAGAATTTGGTGCCCTGAAATTCAGCACGCATCCCACACAAGCTCAATTTAGGTTAAAGTCAGGTGAGTAATGTGGCCAGTCCATTAGAGTGATATTGTCGGTTTACAAGTAAGTATTCTGACACCACATAGACTCAATGAGGCCGAGCATCGTCACCCATTAGCAAACACTCTGAGCCAGCACCCCTAAATAGTCTAACTCGAGGTTCCAATGTCTCATCCTCATATGTCCAAGCGATTACAGAACCTTCTTGAAAGATACGCAGCTCGGTGCATTCATTTTTCAAGATTCCTCTAAAAACCATAAACCACAGTTGTGGAAACAGGAGATTTCACAGACAAGAGAATGCAAGTTGCTTGTTCGTTCCTCTCTCAGATCAAAACACATCTAGAACCACTGTTCAGAATATACCTGGACTCGTCTGTAAACAATATTTAACCCAGCTGTCTTGGCTCCATAGAACAAGATGATGGCACTAGTTTAAATGGGCCCCTCTGGCTGATTTGGAAGTTTTCCTCTGGTCCTTTGGAGTGAGTAAAACATAAACCATTAGTTCTTTTACATGCAGTCCTACCTTTTTAAATCTTCATGCAGCAGTAGAATGAGTAATTCGAGTTCATGTGGCAGCCTGAAGGTATTTAAAACCAAATTTCTTGTACTTGCTTCACAGTGTCTTCGAACCAAAAACGAAAGAAAACAGTCTTCTGATGCAGTTCTTGCTCCTGATCACCCTTGAACAGGCTGCCTATCAACTGATCCAGTGCTTAAAAAGCAGTTCCAAGCTCTCGATATACCATTTTGAGGGATATTCAAATTTTGGGTGACATCCATTTGTGTTTGACCTCATTCAATTCTACCAATTATTTGCCACTTTTGACCTTCCTTTAAATGATGCCCTTGAGCAATAACTATTGAATACTCATCATTCTCAGAAATCACATTCACTTCAAACAATACTACAGAGAAACCAGAATTCCAGTATGTGTCCATTGTGCACCACTTTGTCAATCACCAAATTTGCATATTTACGGCGCTAACTTATGCAAGGAAGGGCAATTTTGTGTTAAATTGCATTTAATTAATATAAATAGTTACAGCATTGGACATTGGTTGCAATATAACTTAGTGGGCAAATTTTTTCTCATTATCCTTTAACTTTGACGATCAGTGTATAAAGCAAAAAACAATTCAAAACCTAATCCAATTGCAAGAATGCAGCCACTAAAGTAATATAAATTAAAAATATATTTAAAATCCATTCCGAATTCAGTTCAGAATAAACACTTTGGATGTTGATGCTATAATTTTGCAATTTTTTTGCACTGTAGAAGCCTGTAGAGGTTGGACTGATAAAGACATAGATTACTTTGATTAATTTTCTGATATTATTTTAAGTATTAAATTTTAATTTATGTCTTAAACAAGCTCACATATTTACTTCTTTCACAGCACCAACCTTCTGCCGATGACGCAGTGAAAGATGTAAATTTCTTTTTACTTTTCCTTTTTTATTTTGGCACTTTTTACAACTACAATTGCAGTTTGCCAATGTGCTTAGTTTTTTTGTTTTTTGCATGTGGTTTGTTCTGAAATGAGTATGGGATGCATTTAAAACACATTCTTAAATTATTTTGCATTATGTACACGGAAGAGCCATTGCATTATGACCATTTTCCATCTATAACAACGGGCTTGTCCAGGAACAAAACCACTGCATGTGCACAGCTGATTATTGGGGTATATAAAACAGTTATGCATTGTCTTTCCAAACATAGTGCAATTAGCAACATAATGGGGAAAACACCTGATTTATCAGACTTTGATAAAGATCAAATTGTTATGGCTCAGCGACTGCACGTTTAGTGGTTGTTCACATGCAGTTGATGTGAGCACATATTGAAAGTGGTGTATGAATGTGAAACCATAAGTCGCCGGCCAGCAGTATGTCGTCGATGGCCCATTGATTTCAGAGGAAAGCGAAGCAATGCTACACATTGGTCACTGTGATGAAAGAGCTACAACAGCTGAAATCCCCACCAGCTACAACAATGGCGACCCAGACAGTGTTTCTCAACATACTGTGCAGCATACATTACTGCATATGGGCCTACACAACCAGAGGCTGAAGCAATGTCCCTGCACTGATGGCACGTCATCACCAGCTGTGTCTGCAATGGGTCAAGAAACACTGGAATAGGACATTAGAAGAATGGAAGAAAGTTACATAGTCCAACGAATCATGTTTCCTGGTCCATCACATTGACAGGCATGTGCTAATACAACAATTTCCAAATGAAACCCTGGCTCCCACATGCACAGTTGGATGGAGACAAACCGGTGACGAGGATATTATGGTGTGGGCAATTTTTTCATTACATCAGTACCCATGATTCCCAACCTCTGATGTCTGTGTTGTGTGTGAACATCGTTGCAGACCAGGTTCACCCATTCACCACAACAGTATTTCTGGTGGGGGATAGTGTTTACCAACAGGATAATGCATCATGTCATATGGGTTGAAAGTGGTTCGAAGAACATTGCAGTAACTTTCAAGTCATGTCTTGGCCTCCAAATTCACCTGACTTTAATCCAATAGAGCATTTGTGGTCCCACCTGAAAAACCAAACTCGTCCTGCCACACTACCCCCACACAATGAGCAGCAATTGCAGAACCAGTTAAGTGCTTAATACCAGATACCTAAGACTATGCATCAGCACCCTGTGGAGTTAATAACATGATGGGTGCTGGCAGTTTTGAAGGCTAAAGGTCGTCCTACATGTTATTTACACGGTGATCATAATGTAATGGCTCTTCGATGATACACATATATAATAAATCAAAATCTCGAAAATCGTGATGAAAAAGAAAATGCAGTATTAAATTTTTGAAGATTAAACCTATTTTCTCCATGTTACAAAATAAACTGGTAAAATGCAAATTAAAGAAAATTGCAAAATTGAAAACAACAACAACAACAAAAAAAAAAGTTCATTTCAAAGAGGAAAATTTATAAAAACAAGAAATTTGTGCATATTAAAACCAAAACAATAAAAAAATTTTAATCTCCTTTGTTTAACGCTTCAAATAGAACTTTTCAAGGGAAAAGTGTTGTGAAGCCTTAAACCCAGTTCATTAATGAATATATGATAATAAAAAAATATGATTCGTTCCTATGAATTTCCTGAGATTTTAAGCCGCTTTAAAGTACACATAACATACACACACACATATATGACCATTAGTTCTCTTACATGTATATATATGACCATAGTATAACTGCACCATAATATCACATACAAAATCAAAGAAAACACTGGATATACACACTGCATATACCTCAATTGCAAACAATAATACTCAGAATGGAGAGACAATTTGGAAGTGCTTATATGGATGATTTTGTTTTTTTAAATTGTTTACTAGTATCATATGCAAAATCATCAAAGAATATATGAAATATGCATATTATACACTCATTTAAGCACACTATAACTAATTAGTTAAAAAACTCTTAATTCATAAAATATTTAATATATTCAGCTGCACACAATCTGCAATCTTTATTGTCTATAATCAGTGACCAGTAACAAATGATTGAAAAGCACTTTACAAGACTGCCCTTTTTTTTAATTTCTGATATTTTTATCACAAAGCAGATTAAAAAAAAAAACCATAATGTACTAGCATTATAGTCGATTTAAGAAAACACTTCAAAACAAAATGAAAACATATAATTGATCATTATTAAAAGAAAAAAGTACTCAGTGGGACATAAACTATAACTTTTGTTAATAAGAATAATGAAATAAAATACAAAGCATGAGTATTTTCAAATTTTTTTTTAAACAAATCCAATTACTCATAGTTAGAAAAGAAACACAGAAATTATTAAACAATTTAAAATTACTTCTAGTTTAGTTACTCAATTTACATTAAAAGTTGGAGGGGGAAAAAGGCGTGGTGTGGTGTATTTAATTATGGCAAAGCACACGAGGGCTATCTGCCTAAGGGGAGGGATGCCTTTCGTGGAGGACTTTCTAAGGGAAACTGGCTCGTATGCACATTACACATGGGGAAAACCACGAAAACACCCATGCAGCCAGCCCGTTCGCGGGATTCGAACCTTGGACCGAACTACCAGTGTTCAGCGACTTTACTGCTCGGCCGCTGGTGGGCAGGGGGGGGGAGAAAAATAGTAGTTCCAGTAACGTTTTATTTTTCCCAAATAACTTACAAACAAATTTAAAAAGTGCAAAAAAATATTCCAAATTCTTACCACAATTACATTCTCCATTACGAATTAATCTAAAAGTTAAAGAAGTTCGAGGAGAACGATGACAAAGGGTTAAAGAAGAACTATCATTTGCATCAACAGGTACAAGGTCTGTCTTTCTAGGAGTAATACTATAGAAAAACTGCAATAAATATTAAAAGAAAATGGAAAGCAATACCAAATAATTATTATTCATGTGAAAGATGAAAAAAAATTATAATAAAAAAAATTATAAATCATGAACAGTGTTAAAAATTAAGATATTTAAAATTTTACAAACTTTAAAAGATTCAAAGATTATCATGCCAGAATATTGATTAACAACACAAAAAAGAATTCTGATATCCTTGCAAACCCAATGAAATAAGTTAACTAATTTAGATCATATGCGAAACAACCTGAACACTTAAGCAGAACAACTTTAGCACAAACAAGACACTTTATTTCAAAGCTTAGAAACAAATGATACAACTTCTTTTTTTATGCTAGCTGAGAAACATCTGTTGACATCAGTTAAATGAAATATCAATTTCTTGCAATGAAGCAATGATTTTATCACAAATGAAACACAATTAAATTCTTAACTACATGGAAATTCATAAAACAGCTGAAGTTACAAAAATATGACACAAAAAATACAAAAATATAAATGTACATAGAACAAATTTAAATGTGGTGTATATTTAAATTTCTGATATTATTTTTAATGCAAAGAAAGTGTAGCATTATCAATATATGGCTGCATTTTTTTGAACAGAATACATGAATCTTTGTTAATTGCTTTTTGTTCAATCTGATCAATGCTAAAATTTTAAAATGTCTTGTTAAGTAATATAGTAGCAACTCCAGTTTTTATTACAACAAGTATATATAATTTTGTCTGCTATAAATCATTATCTATGAAATTATTCAGCTCTGAAAGATCATACTGCATTGTCTGACAACAGAAGATTTAATACCTCATAATAAAACCATTACAACAGAAGAAAAGAAATCAAATTTGGCAATATAACAGCATGCGTAGTCTTAAAATGATAAATAAAATAAATTAATGATGTTATATGCATTAACTAGGTAAAATACATTGATAGTGGAGACTTTCACAGATGGCCTATCTGCTTGCTCAGCCAAAATTTCAATTGAATGGTGATCTCATGTTCATTTCCTTTTACAGTTGCTGCATTACTTTTTTTTTTTCAAAGTTTTCTGTAGGGTTTTCCTATTTTTTAGAATGAACATTCAGATGTACAGTGACTGAAGGATAGTTCTATATGAAACAGTTTCCTTATAATATTCTTCTTCTCTCCTAAAATTTATATGCTAGTTCTCTTACAAAGTAGAAATTGACAATTTTCCATATTTTTAGGATGGACTATTTTTAGGATGTTTACATCCATCTTAAAAAGTTTGGCTACCCTGCATGGAACCACAAATAACGCAGCAATTCTAAAAGGAGATAAACTGAGATCACCATTCAGTCAGAGTTCCCCGTACCCCATACAGTGCTGCCATTGCTCGCTTTTAAATCATTGAGTTTGTTACTCAAACATTCGTTAAAGTTTTACAAAATATGAAATCTATAATAAAACAAACTCCAAATTTTAAATTTGGTCTTCCACATGCCCATGTTTCTAGGAGGATTACATCATTCAGTCAGACTCTGACTGAGGATAAAGATAGTCCATCTGTAAAAGTTCTGCCACCAATGCATTTTTATATAGTTAAGCATGTATAGCATCATTAATTTACAATAGAAGTCCAATAATCTAAACATTCAAGTATTTAAGCGCATCTGATAATCTGGCACCTTTTCCAATAACATTCTTGTACTATGAAAGCATTACTTATGTTTTCTTCAGTAATTTTCAGAAAGACTGGGCAGTAGCTTCTCAGCATTTTCCCATTTAATCTTTTGTTTAAAACTTTAGATTTATATATCATTTGCTTTCTTTATTTATTTAAAATACAAATCTTACTGGAAAAGAAAGAAAAAAAAAAAAAGGAAAAAAAATCTGAAATGTTTCAGATTTTAAATTACGTCCAAAAGGAAGTTATTTTATTTTATTATTTATTTTTAACATTTGTGTGTTACCTTTATTTATTAAATATCATGTTCTTGCACTTCAATGCACAAAATAATTTAAATGAGCAATCTTTAATTTGATACACAGCGGCTGGAGATAAAAATTTGCACGTTGCCATGCTCGCTTTTAATCTGAGTTGTTAAAAATTCGTAAAGTTTTAAAAATAGGAAATCTATAAACAAATCAAATTTCAAATTTGGTTTTCCACATGCTCATATTCGTTGGAGGATTACGTCATTCAAAATTCGATGGCTCTATGAAACTTTTTTTTTTACAATGCGAGAAATATACATACATTTATGCAGATTTTTCATAATTTAATTTCTTCAAATATAGTGCAGGACTCTACCTTTTGGCGGCAACAGTTTGAAAAGTGATTCGCCATTTATAGTGATTCAATGCAAAATCGCTAAACGAAAATAATAGTCCTTCAGGGACAAAGCCCCTTTTGGACTAATACACATGGAACTTTAAAAATTCTCCAAACTTTATTGACACGTTGAATGCCATGTGCATTTTATGTGGTTCACCCATGGCGCCAATATGAATTTTTTATTATTCGATGCATACTATGTTGAAATATTTTCTACAGAAAATAAGATGAGTTATGTAATCATGTTTAACCGCTAGCCTGATTATCCCCAGTTATCTCGAGTTCGTATATATTGCAGTTAATTATTATCCTGTGAAAACTTGGGCAAAGCAGAATTTGTTAGTACAATTTGTTTTATCACGGTTTTACCAGAGGAAATGAAAGGAAATATTCAGCTTTGATTGGCAGTTTGCCGAATTTTGTTAGTCGCGCGGTTTTTTTTGGAGGGACTGGTCACGTGTTTCTCTATTGTATAGTATACATCGGCTTGTGGATTAGTAATGTATAAAGAAGGATACATGCATTGAAAAAAGATAAAATAATGGCAACGATGCAAGATAGCGAAAGCGATAATTTTTCAGATAGTAATTATGAAGAATTGGGAAAAAAAATTAAAAAAAAAAAAAAAAAATCCAGCGGACAATGTGCTCCCGTGAAAGAAATTCCAGCGTAAG